TGTGTGTGTGTGTGTGTGTGTGTGTAAGGGGATAGCTAACAGGCTAAGCTGAGGTTCTTCTTCCATGAAGCAGCTCTGTTGTCCTCCATCCATATTTTCAGTTCCAGGCTGAGTCATTTCTACCTTCTCCTCTCTGCCAACGCTCTCTGGTTTCATTTAAAAGAGTTGATATTCAGATATTGTCCAAGATTAACCTTCAGGGTGGAAATAGCTCACTGGCAGCCTCGCACCGATGACCTATCTACGTCATCATTTACCCAGAATGCTTTGTGTGTAAATAAAATGGCTCCATCCGTGTCAAAATATATATTTAAAAATTTACAAAACTACATAGCCAACAGTATTTTTACAGTTTTTATTTTACAGTTGAAATATATGTTTGTCAAATAAAGTCTAATGTTACAACAAATCAGGGATCCGTTTAAGGTGGAATTAAGACACCTTCTAGCTGCCTCGTGATCTTTGAATGGGACGATGCAATGAGAGAGAGATTGAAGCCAACCCACCTCTGATATGCCTTTGTGGCATGAAGGGAGGTAGTAATGGAGTCAAAATGGTCGACGTGAAAATGTAAACTGGTGCCAGTGCTCAATGTGGTTAAGTGACGACATCTTGTCTGTGCAACCACCTTGTCATGGGATTAAACAACAAAATACAGATGTATTGAGAGGAGATGGATGATGATTCACAGCAACTTGAATTTGGTTAAAACAATGGTTAACCACAAGGAAAATTGCTAAACTTAGTTATTCACCATGTTTTGAAAATGAAACCAGGGAGATGTTTGTCGCGCATTTAAACCTTTACAGCTGAGTTCTGCTCCATGTTTTGTTTGGTTCCACGATGCTCTGAAAACCCACATCTGTGTGTTTTTTGTATGAGGAAGCAAAAAGACAGACTGGTCTTTGCCATTTCACAGACATGTTTTGTGAAAGTTCCTCCTGTCTGTTAAATGTTGTTTTTTTTCGACAATCCACATTTTAGGAAAGTCTGTAAGTTTAAATTGTGATCTTTACATTTCCTTTTAACTCGTTTTGTTTTCTTCTTACTGAACATCTTCAAAGTTGTGCTGGCACATAAAAGTAGCAGACTTTGAACTGATTAAGTTGTATCTAATGTTTGTGTTCATGAGCAGCTCTGTCCAGCTGCTGCTCTCTGGCAAAAGTAGTTTGAGGAACGACAAGAGCTCATATAGGCATAATGATTTATTATAAATGTAGTAATTGTCAAACACATTGTTGCACTTAATACTAGTTTCTTTCTTGCAAAAATAAACAGATGGAATTAAGAACATAAATAAGTATGCAAAATAAAACTGTTACTTTTTTTGTTTTGACTTAATTTTAACGTGACAGGGACGATGATGACATCAACGATGTGGCTTCCATGGCGGGAGTCAACTTATCGGAGGAGAGCGCTCGTATCATGGCTACCAGCTCTCAGCTTGTCGGCATGGTGACTCGGTCCTGTGTAGACGAGACTTTTCTTTCTGTCTCCTCGCTCACTCAGATAGCTCTGGAATTTGGTGAGAGAGTGTTGTGACCAAATGTACAACATTCTTTTGCTTTAGGCTGACTCATGTTTGTTTTTTTCTTCCACACTCACTTCCTGTCGCAGGTAAGAAGTTTGGCGTCAACAAGTTGGGCACAAATGTGATCAACTACATATCCCAAGCTACACAGCAACGGCTGCGGGTCCTCTTGGAAAAGGCGTCGCATGTGGCGCAGCAGAAAAATACAAGTTTTAAGGTGGCAATGGATTACAGTAACTTGAGTTGGATTTTTCAAGTTGCACTGAAACAAATATTGTAAAAGCTAAAAATACTAATCAGATCAAATAGAATTCAACCCAAATAAAGTTGTCGATTTCATTTCTGCCTTTTCTTTTAATTCCTGTTTCCCATACAACCTTTAGGAGGACGTGCAGTATGAGCAGGTCAGCAACGTGAGAGCACAACTCAAGTTTTTCGAGCAGCTGGATCAGATGGAGAAACAACGGAAGGATGAAGAAGAAACGGAGATGCTCATGAAGGCTGCCAAGGTAGAGAGACTCTTTATGTGGAAAGGTTGTTATGCACGATGAATAAACACCATCCCTGTGGAACCTTCTATCAAAATTTTTTGAGTGCATTTTACACCAGATGAAATAAGATAAGGTGAGATAAGATAAGAAGATAAGATAAGAAGATGAAATACGATAAGAAGATAAGATGAGATAAGATAAGAAGGTACGATAAGAAGATAAGATGAAATACGATAAGAAGATGAGATAAGATGAGATGAGAAGATGAGATGAGAAGATGAGATGAGATAAGAAGATAAGATGAGATAAGAAGGTACGATAAGAAAATAAGATGAGATACGATAAGAAGATAAGATAAGAAGATAAGATGAGATGAGAAGACGAGATGAGATAAAAGATGAGATGAGATAAAAGAAGATAAGATAAGAAGATGAGATAAGAGCACAATGAAATTGCAGTTCAAAACACCCATTCACAAGAAGACAGAACATAAACATTAGGAACCCAGGGACTCACTTGCAGGTGTTACACTGGTTTAAAAGACTCATGTCCAGGAGTGTCCAATCCTGGTCCTTGAGGGCCACTATCCTACATGTTTTAAATGTTCCTCTGCACCAGCACAGGTAGGATAGTGGCCCTCGAGGACCAGGATTGGACACCCCTACTTGATTTAGTTTGACACTTCATTTTGTTAGCTCTGTATGAGCCAGAAAGTAATTGCTGAACAAGAATTGAGTGCGAAATTTGGATTTAGTAGGTTATTTCTTTATTGTAACAATGCTTGTTGGCATTAAATCTTATGCAGTTGGAAAATACACTGCTCAAAAAAATAAAGGGAACACTACTGCTCAAAAAAAAATAAAGGGAACACTTAAACAACGCACGCTAAGTCCAAGTAAATCAAACTTTTGTGAAGCACATTCAACTCTGTACAGAACAAAGTACTCAATGCGAACTATGCGATCTATTTGGATTAATACTCAGAACCGTCTTTTGGTTTTAAATGGTAAGAGGAAAAAAACAGTGCTTCAGTTGGGTAGTTAAAAAAAGCCTGGTTAATTTCAGAGAGCATTGGGCAGGCTGGTTGCAGGGGTCAGAAAGGCAACAACAACTACTTGTTGCAAACGAAATGTCTGTAGAACACATCTCTGAATACACATGTCCACTCTGGAATCAGACGGGCTACAGCAGCAGAAGACATCAGGTGTAACTCCTGTCGGCTAAGAAAAAAAAAAACTGAAGCTACAGTTCTTGTAGGCTCACCAAAATTGTCTCACTTTATCCTAATCCTGCCACCAAATGAGCTGAAAACTGTAAATGGTTTTAAAAGAAAACTCAAACTCCAGTTGTTTTGGAAGAATCATTAGCTAAGCAAAGACAACTTTCTGTGTATTTGAGTTACTGTCACAACAGATTCAGTTTTTAGGATTCCTGATTTATTCAATTATAGAAACTTAAATATCATAAAATTTCTCTTGCTTTTAATATTTTTTCTCCAAAAACCAACAATTTCTAAACTAATAAATTTAAACTTAAAATAATACCTGATGGAGCCATATCTAATCATTGGTGAGTCACCCACTGAAAATAAAGGAACTCCTCTGACTTTAATATTTGGGATCAGTTTAGATGAAATGTTCAAGGAAAATGAAAAAGTGAACACTTGGATCAATTGATGTGGAATGACTCAGCATAATTTGCACAGGGATACAGAAAAACTGACAGATTCTTACAGTTATATTTGCATAGATAAGGGTAGTGTGTGATCTTGGGCCACTGACATTAAATATAATTTCTCTGCTGCTAGCCAACAGATATGCAAACTGTAAGTGAGCGAATGAATAAAACGCAGGATTTAATGAATTGAACATATCCATCTTGAAATATTAAAATGTCCTCTGCATTACCTGCAGTCTAGGTCGCGACAAGAAGACCCCGAGCAGCTCAGACTTAAGCAGAAGGCCAAAGAGGTAATTAGATGCTAAAATAAGTCTCTGCACTGTTGCTTTCTTGTGTGAATAATGTGTGTGGGTGGCTGTGTGTGTGTGTGTGTGTGTTTTCCAGATGGAGCAGCTAAAGGAGGCTCAGATCAGGCAGAGAGAAGCCAACCTAACAGCTCTGGCAGCAATTGGCCCGAGAAAAAAACGGAAAGCTGACTCTCCGGTCAGGGGTGCGACTGCCGAGGTGAGGGGGTTTGGAACCTTTTGCTAAGGATCACTGTGTTTGCATAGAAATGTTTTGAGTGATTAAAAAAGAAAAGCCCGTAAAAGGCTAAGTGGTTCTCTGATATTTGCTCACAGGGTGCTGGGTCAGGACCTTCCCAGCCTGGGGGCTCAAGTGGAGCAGGCTCCAGACAGTTCACGAGACAGCGGATCACAAGAGTCAACCTCCGGGACCTGCTCTTCTGTCTGGAGAATGAGAAAGAGACCAGTCGCTCGCAGCTCCTTTATAAAGGCTTCCTCAAATAGTACCTGGATTAAAGTAACTCGTCTCCGGCAGGGACATTAAGGAAGCAGAGCAGAGCTCTCCGCCTTCCAGATTTTCTTTGATCTGTTAAATTATAAGACGTGGCTGCAGGAGAATTATCTGCAACACAAAGGAGACTTTACCAGCTTCCTCAGGCACTGGCCTTTTGTGTTGTAATTGATGAGAAGGAGCAAATATTGGCCTTGACTTGAGCACACCTCCCACCTCAGTTTGCTCTGCTGATGCTCGTTCCACCTGACTCCACGTGTCTCACGTGACACGGATCCTTTCAGTTACTAACCTTATTTCTTGAATTGCCTTCTTAACCAGACAAGCCATATGCTTTGAATGTGTTGATTTATCAATCCAGCAGTATTCCCCAGAGTTCTAGGATGGGTGCTTTAATGTTTTATTTGTCTTTTTGTTTATTTATGTCACATTCAGGCGGTGTTAGTTGGCATCAGTGGAAAAAACAATACAAATTCACACTGGTTGATTTTTGTTCTGACTGCCACATTTTCTACACTTTAAATGCTTTTCATTCCAATTCTTTTTCTGGAGCATACTATACAGTATGCATATTTTTATAAGAGAAGGTATCATAGTGTATATAAGGTAATTCTTGGGTAAAATTCTTCTGGTAAGGATATGATAGATCCCCCTCTAAAACAAAAATAAGTCTTACTTTTTATTAAAATTTTTTTGTAAAGAAATCTGAGCTGCTATGTTATAATTTAAAAAGAGGAACTTGTGATGTCCGGGCTGCAATCGTGCTGTATTATTGCACCAGAGTTTGAATGAAATAAATAATAAAATAACTCCAATATTGTCGCTGATTGCAGTCATTTATTTTTCTCTGTTTGTGTTTATGAATAATGAAGGTTGTCTTGGGTTGATGATGAAAGAGAGTTGTTGGTGATTTGGTTCTCTACACCACTTACTCATCAACATATCACTTTACATTTTGTGTATATTTTTTGTGCGAGTACAAATCTGGGCCATTGTATTTTTTGATTTGAAAGAATGTTATGACAGATGTTATTTACCTGCAATACTTATTTGTATATTGTGAGTAGATTTAACAGCTTATGATGTCAAAATGAGAAAATGTTTCATGTTACTAAGTGACAAGATAAAGATATACTTTCTTGATAATGTCAAAGTAAATTTTGCACCATTTGTTTATGTGTAAATATCTACAGATACAATAAATGGCTATTTTATAATTGATTGAAAAAACTATAATAAAACAAAACAACTTTGTTTTTAACTTGTATTTTTTTTTTAGATCTACTGTGAAACATTACTGTTTAATTATCTGTTATAGTATTAATTTCAAACTTAATTCATTTCTAAAAAACAAACTTCATTTCTTAAAATCAAAATTAGTTCTATGTACAATATAAAGAAAAAATACAATGAAATAAGGAAATATTAGGATTTAGGAAAAAAAATTAAAAATTTTCCTGCATTTTCAGTATATTTCAGTACAACCATTTCATTTGTAACACAAATTAAAGTACAAAAAATATGCCATCACAATAAAATCAAATAAAATGAAAGGCAGCAGAAGAAGAATAAATCTTATATCTGCCCCTTTTTGTACCTAAAATATGTTCAAAAGAAAAGTAAAATACAACAAAAATCAAAACAACTTAAAACACTTAAAAATGAACTAAAAACAAAATTTAAAACATCAAGTCAAACAACAGTTAGCATGAAATCACTCATACTTCTCAGTATTTCTTCAGAAAACTAGTTTTTATCATTCTCTTCAATATATACAAGGATCTGTCATTTTTGACCTCATCTTCCGTTCCACAATCTTATTCCCTGGATTAAAGTGGATCGCTCCTTCAGGCTCGTACGAAACCAGGGTTTCACAAACATTTCAAATCATTTAAGATAATAACAACTCTCTCTTTTAACATAATTTACTTGAATGTCGAAAGGTATGAGCTAACAGCAAAATATTATGATCGACCAAATCATAGAATTTTRATCATTTCAAATCATGAAACAATGTATTCGATGGATGGCTGTAATTTTTTCTAGTAATAATTCTTATAACTCTTTTCTGTAAAATAAAAATAGGATTTGTGTAGTTTTACAAGTTTTACCCCATACTTCAATACAATAAATTAAATGTGGAACAATTATAGCGTTATACAACATAAACAGTGCTTTATCATTGAACAGTTCTCTTACTTTGTACAGGACTATTTTTGTTCTTAAACCATTTATATGATTTTTCCATGTCAGTTTTTCATCAATAATGACACCTAGAAACTTCACTTCACTGACTCTACTGATTTCAGCATCATCAATTTTAAATGAAACATACAGAAAATCATATAATTTGTCTTGTCCAAGTTTAACGATAATTTATTTAGTTGAAACCAACTTTGTATTTTCACAAATTCTGTCTGTACCACCTCCAACATTTGTTCTATATCATTTCCGGAACAAAAAAAAAGTTGTATCATCAGCAAATAGGACGCAAAAAGACTCGACACATTTACCAAATCGTTCACATACAAAATAAACAACTTAGGTCTGAGAATGGAACCCTGCGGCACTCCACATGAGATGTTACAATACTCAGATCTTACATTATTTATTTGAACAAATTGTTTTCTATCTTCCAAATAACTATATCCACTGTAATGCAGGTCCTCTAATACCATATTTATTTAGCTTTTCAAAAAGAATACTGTGGTTAATAGTATCAAACGCTTTTTTAAAGCAACAAAAATACTGACACAGTACTGTTTTTGCTCACAGGCATTTCTGTTAGTTATAAAAATGACAGAGCAACAACTTAAAAAAGATGGCATAAACTGGAACAAAGAGGACATTTTGTTAAAAAGTAGTTCAAATATTTTGATCTTCAACAACCATCAGTCTCACTGCTATTTATTTAGAGACTAAGGATGGATTTAAGTTCTTGAAAAAAAATGTTTTTTTTTGTACAGCAGCAAAAAGAGAATTACAAGTTCTTTTTTTTTTCCTAAATGATCAAGGTTTATATAGACAACTTTATTCAAGATGGCTGCCACAGCCAAGAAAACACAAAATATCCATGGTTCAGTTAATTTGACAAATATGTTAAAATTCTGTGTGGTTGTAGAAGAAAGCCATTCACATTACATGCTTCAAGTGCTACTTAATAAAGCAAGACCTTTAACATTAGCATTGACAACTGAAGTTAGCACTTTTGTTCATATCAAAATATCTCATGAATCTCATGAGTTGATAGTAAAGGAACTTTCTGAACAAAACTATTAGATGTACATCTACAGCTGATTAACATCTGAAGTCAACCCACCTGAAGCTCATCACACCTAAGCTCATTTAGCAAATGCAAAAATGGCTCCAATTACTTTAACAAATGCTGAAATAAAACATGATCATTCTTAACACATTTTTTAAACATGTCATCCCATACTTTCTCATGCAATTTGTCTATAATTTTCTTTTTCAAGGTTTGACCTAAACAAGTCTGTCATTTCTCAACTTGATTTTAGTCAACATCTCTGACATGAAAGGTGGCGAACAATGTGCATTCCTTCAGTGCTAGTACTGTCATTGCAGAAATCACGCAGAAGTCGGTTGCTAACAACCAAGTATCATGTTAAATTGAAATGATGAATTTATGCAACAACTGATAAATACAGTGCACAATTTTAAAATGACATAATAAGCAATTAATAAAAAACAGATTATATAGACTTAAAGCAGCATTTGCTTCTCTTCACTTATATGAATCTCAGGATCAAAAATTGTTTGTAGATCACAAAGTTTGAACATGTTCATCATTTTTTTTACAGATTTTTTTCTCAGACTTTTAACATTGTACCTGAATTACAAACTAGGCTTGAATTGTTCCCTGTCTCCCAAACAATTATAAAAACCAACAAAGTCCTTATTATTGATAATCCAGGTTATGAATCATAGAGGACATCTGTGCCACTCAATTTTGGATTTCAGAATATTTAAATAATTAAAAGCACAGTTTGAGCTGTCCTACAATAATACAGAAATACAGCACAGTTTAAATTATACATTCTTTTTCTTAAAAATGAAACAATTTTCTTTTATTGCTTTTTCCTGGTAGCCTTTTCAGTAAATGTCATCACTTAGCCATGATGCGTTGACCCTGAAGTGCAGAGCAGAAAGATGCCACAGGGGGGCAGTAGTGCCCCACCACACAACTCTGACGTCTGTCAATAGGCTGTTCGAAATTACTTATTCATTTACTTTTTTTTGTTGTTTACATTTTCTTTAAGGGTTTATCACTAAATTATAAAACCAAAAATAGCACAGCAGTGCCCTTCAGAACATACATATTTAGAATTCATAATAATACACTGTATGACTTTATTTTACTGAGACAGGCTGCATGTGTCATCCTGACTCCCGCTGCTTGGTGGATCTGAGCATCTCAACACACAAGACACATTTCACACAGATGGACGTCTCGGTCAGGATCACGCCAAGCCACTTCCTTATATTCCTTCCGACTTGGTGGATTTGAAGCTTAGACAGTTGTTTGTTCAGCTCCCTCTGCAGACAAGGTATCTTGTGGCTGTGGCTGCCCAAACTGTTGTCTTCCTGGTCCCAACATCCAGGCAAAGGCAGTCTTTTTAAGTCTCCTTCAATATGAGTTGTCAGGCTATATTTGCTTATGTTACACTGGGACACCAAACTCAATTCCACTGCCTTGTTTGATTTTGCATAATAAGAAGCTGCTGGCTGCTCACAGGATATTGTCTTTGACTGACAGCTGAGAAGATGAGTGAATATATTTCATAGTTTATGATGTATTCTGGAGGAGCAGTGACAATTTTTTTTGTTATTTATATTTTTTTAACCAAGACCCATTTGATTTTGAAAACAACTTCCAGAGTCTTTCATGGGGTTTGAGGACTTGTCACCCAGTGATTCTGTGTGTTCTCATTGTCCAATAATTCCTTTTGAAGGAGAACTACACAGAGATGTTGTGTAACATTCAAAGCATGGAGCAACAATAGTGTTGTTAGACCTGAACAACATGACTTCATCAGTGATATTATCAATTACTGTAGTTTGTTTGAGTGGTGGAAAAAGAAAGGACAGCTGTTAGTTTGATAATATCTGCAGATCAAAACTAATTTAAAAGGGATAAAATTGGGTTTTATGGAAAAGTTGGGAACAAATAATATCTATCTTACTTGCTGCAGATAATTCTTTGAACAACCTTAGTTTGAAGAAATTGAGTATATCTGTGTTTTTCAGGACAAAGTTTTAAACTGAAGTCATCTAATTGTTCATTTTTTGAAATAAAAAAATCTCGGTGTAAATGGAGTCCAGTTTGAAGAGGTCAGAACTCCGTTTCTGCTTTATGTGGATGATGTGGTCCAGTTGTCATTGTAGCATGATCTTCAGCTCTCACTGGAGTGGTTCACAGCGAAATGTGAAGCAGCTGGTATAAAAGTACGCACCTCCAAATCTGAGGTCATGGTCATTTAGATAAAGCTGGATGTTACCCTATGGGTTGGGGCTGAGGTGCTGCTTCAAGTGGAGGAGTTTAAATATCTTGGGGTTTTGTTTATGTGTAAGGGAAGATCGAGCTGTGAGATTGACAACTGGGTCAGTGCAGCTTCTGCAGTATTATGGACTTTGTACCAATCCATTGTGGTGAAGAGGGAGCAGAGCTGTAAGGTGAAGCTCTCTGTTTACGGTTCAGTCTACGTTTCTACCCTTACCTCACAAACTCAGTAGTGACCGAAAGAATGAGATAATGGATACAGGTGGTTGATACGTTTTTTTTCCTGCAGAGTAGGTGAACTTTCTT